TCATTAAGCTGTTTCAGGTTTCATTAATCTGGATCTCATTTTGGTACAAGTGTTGTGAGGTACTACCCACATTTGTTAGTAGTATGAGCACAAAGAATCGGTTAGATTTTCACTGCATCTCTGAATGGATGTGGACGAGACAAACAGATTGTCGGGCTGACGATCACCGATGGAGTGATGTTCGCGATGATCCTTCCCAACTGTTGCAAATTAAATTTTTCGTTCTGTGTAATAATCGAAAAGACGACGTGTTGTATGCGATAAACGAAGAAGAAGGATGAAGTATAAATAAGGTGACTATTAATAGATGGAATTTTGCAGTTTTGAAAATTGTGATCGAACAGATAAGATCGAATATGCTAAAATATGGCTGAGTAATTTAGAACCTTCGCCAGAAATTCATTCGGAGATCCAGCATATCAGGAGGATGTTACAAAGGCAACCCTTAGGCCGGAATTATTGGCATACTCGGAATGGTTGAGAACTTTATCTCGGTGAATCTTGAAAATCAGTGTTTCATCCGAAAGTTCAATGTAACGTCAGGATTATTCTTGGCGGTAAGATCTTCAATCCGAAAGATCTCCAGGTGTCTCATGTCATTAATGCTCAGTAAGCTTGTAAAAACTCCAGTTTTGTCCTTTACCTTTCATTCTCTCAGCTAAAATCTTCGAATCAAAGGGGAGATTTATACCATTGAATGCATCAGGTTTCGATGCAAATGGTTTTATCCTAAATGTGAATTAAGATGTTGGTGATGAAGCCGCCTCGAGAGGTTGATTGGAAATACCATCGTCATATAGATGATCGCTCATTTCACTTTCTACAAATAATATATTAATAACATTTTGTGTTTTGCCGATAACATTGTGAATCATTTCAAACTCTTGAAAGAATTTAAAGCAGTACACTCCAACCTAACTTCACCCTAGAAAATTTGTGGATCATGGTCCTGGAAGTTCTACTAACTCGTCGGGTCTCTCCAGAGCGCCATCCACAGGGGACCGTCATGAAATAATCGGCATTACTCTATGAAAACTATCATTAGAATGGAAAAGGAACCTGATTGAGTGCCTCGCTACCATGGCGGAACAGAACAGAACAGTCCCCAGAACTATTTGTGGATAACATTTTGAAGCTTCAACGGGTACCGCATAAGGTCATCACCTTTGGGAAGAGACCGGTATACGTATAGCCACCTTTTACGGGCGACAGAACTGCGGAGATAATAACAGAAAAACTGAGTGCAAATGTGGAATAAACATTCNATTCCGCGCAGCCAAACTTTGCCTTGGTCTCCTCTCCAGGCCGCTATTGTTTTCTACTCGAATTGCCTGTTTCGCAGTTTGTTCTTCTGTGCGTACATACTGACCTATCTCTGCGAGACAAGGTATATTATCTGAACGAGTACCATCTGGCTTGGTTGAACAGTGGGGAGTGACTAGAACCATCAACAATTCAATCATTTGTACTTGGTGGAACTACATACGTGGGTAATGTGTCCATGTCTATTTAGTTCGCAGCCGTCGATCTAAGGGTATTCGGAGTCGCGTTCGGACCACAATAGATTTGCTCGGAATTCGCCCGCATAATCCGTCAATCGCCCACGAAAACAATTCGTGAAGACACTCATTCGGTCATCGCCACACACGACAGTCATACCCTAGCAGTCCCTAACAACCCAAACGAATGTGTGTGTGTGTGTGATGAATAAAGTTTGAGAAACATCCGTTCAGGGAATGGACATGTGATTACTTTTTCTGTTTCTATATCAATCTGCAATAAAAATCCCCCTCCAAAGGTTATGTCACAAATCGTGATGCATTAGCCGGTGGACGAATCGCCGTAAACGAGTTTGTTGGCTACTGTCTCTCTCTTTCTGTATGTGCGTTTTACAACATTCTGATGCTGCTGACATAACTAGATTAAAAAACTTCAAGGTACTTCTTTATTGTCTTAATTTTGATACACTTGTCTCTGCGGACTTCATTGTTTGTTGAAGGCACTGCAGGCATTCTGCTACGGGTGATGTCCTTGTATCCGAATAAGGACGCTTTTCAGGTGAATGAATCGTTGGTTATCACGCAATTTATTGTCTTGGTGACTGTTCTTTGAAGAGGTGTATTCACGATGTCGTTCCGTCATTGAGTTTAGGTGAGTACTCTCAAGTATTTAGCATTTGACTCACACTTACTTCAGAGTAGTGTGGTGTGGGATAATGTTTTTATTGATTTGAGCTGACTATCCTACGGACTTCACCTTCATGCACAATCCTCAGTTCATCGATTCAACCATACACTCGGAAGCACTAGACTCGAGTTTCACTCTTATTGGGGCTCATCAGAAGGGCATAACCACCGTTTCGTCCGGGATTTGAACTCAAGTAGCCAATACCGGAAGGAAACTGCATGATTTCTTGTTATTGTTTGATATATATATATATATATATATATATATATATATATAAACATGAAAAAATAACTTTGCAACAGGCGGTAACGT